AGCAGGCTGACAGGAAGTCTGAGCTTAGAGCCTTCCTCTAATGAGAACTTCATGAACGTCTTCACAAATTACATTTAACCATTAGAGACAAACTTAATCACAACCATCTCACAGATGTAACATTAAATACAGCAGCTTTCAGTACCACTGATGCTTATTTATTCTGATCGAGCTAACGTCTGTAACGACTTCCTTCAAGCCATCACGTGTGTTTTAGACCCCACCCCTACAAGACTGCTCAAACACGTCCTGAGCATCTGAAGAGTTTCAGTCAGGTTTTAAAGTATTAAAATAATGTGACAGTCAAATGTTGTAAGTTTAGTTTCACTTGTAGGGCAGGAATGTACTGCTGTGGCCTGTTGATGGTTCACAAACACTTCAAACATTACCCGCTCTGCACTGAAATGTGACTAAATTAAAAGGAAACAACGCACCACTCCAGAATCAATGGCGACCTGGGCAAAGCCTTTCCGTTCGCCCCAGAGGAGAGGGTAGGTCTCGTCACTAAACAGAGCTTCCCGGACTCCTCCCGGAGAAATCGCCAACAGGTGACCGTTCTTCAGAGCTCGAACACACTCCTCCTGAGGACCGTGGATCACGCTGAACACCTCCAAGAGCAATTTGAAACCTATAGTGATGAGACAAGACGACAGAGTAAGGAACAGGTCACAGGTAATCACCGATATTTTACCATTTTTGTAGCTAGCATGACCCAGAGTACTGAAAGTCTGAGGTATAAAAGGCCAACAGCAATGAAGACAGCAGTCTCTGTCTGTGGAGCTCCTGTGTTGTACATCAGCCAATCACAAAGGACCACCTAGTCCAGCGATGTAAACATCACATTTCCACCTGTGGTTCTACCTTCTATGCATGTCATGTAAGGGCGACTGACTAACAATCATGAGCTCGGTGTTGACTTCTTTAGTACAGGTTGTTATTTACGGTATCATCTCCAGCTTCAGACCTCGGTTGGAAATTTTGATCAAGAACACATATTTTATCTCCATCATTTCTTCTTCTTCTCGATCTGCAAAGATTCTGGTGATAGCTAACATAATTTCTTTCTTTGCATGTTGAATGAAAATTTTCTATTAAGAAAATGATATTAGGGATGCACCGATACCGATACTGGTATCGGGTATCGGGGCCGATACTGTAAAATGTGTGTGTACTCATACTCGTAAAAGTTGACCGATACCAACTTATTTCATTAATCAGAGGGTGGCTTGTCATTTCTGTTGTAGTTTTTTAGATTGGCCACTA